TTATCATTTACAAATAAATGGCTTCTTCAAATTTTTTGTCTCTTGTCAGAGTATATCTGAGAGATTTCCTTGACTTAACATGAAGTTACCTTTTAGTACAAATACACATAGATATATTCATGACAATAATTTGAACGCATTTTTGCATTTACAGCGAACACATTCTCTGACACGACCTTCGAGGGGAATGCCATACAGAAAAATGCCAATCGTTTCCAATACTAGTCTCCAGGTTGTACACAAGGTGCCTACGAAAGATTCTGAGATGCAAACCGAAATCATTGGAGACGTCAAGCCCATAATGCGTACACTGGAAACCGATTCACAAACATTTGTGCCCGAGTTAGTTGAAAGTGAAGTCTGGACACACGAGCCTGAATTTGATTGGTTTTTGAATGTGAAGGTGTATAGACCAATCGGATTTCATCAGCAAAATCAATTACGTTGTAGTATTAATTATCAAAAACAATTTCAGAAGACAGAGCTGTACAGGAGTCCACCAGACACTCCGACTAGAGGTACGTAAAATGTTAGGTAATGTAAATAGAGCGTGAATGCCACTGGCAGATTTCGGATTTTGATAGCAGAGGCAACAATGAAGTGTATTGGGCTGGATGCTCGGTGCGTAATCACAGATTTGAAATGGGATTAGTTAATACTTGTGATCTTATGTATTATCTCATCCTTTGAGTGGCCAAAATTTCTTGCTTGTGGTAATAAAAAAACAAATCAAATGTAAATTCTTTGCCTATAAAGTGACTATGCTACTCCAGCCCTTGGTTACTGTTGCTACTCTCTGGCAAAATGACAGTTATTTTTAGAGAAGCATGTACGGGTGAACTTTTTGGGACATGTGCGTATTCTTGGCCTTGCCTTTTGTATAACATGTTTTGATTGGTGGGTTGTTAAGTTTATTAACACTCTAGAATGGTATATTGACAATAATTTTTTGTTCATGATAGAAAAGCGTGTTAAGATTGTTGAGCCAGATAAACTAGGACGAACCAAGAGCATGATTGGATCAAAAGCTAGGAGTTCAATGGGAAGAAAGAAGAAGGACGTAGCTGAGGATGAGGCCTGGAAAGATGAAAGGTAATTAAGGATTGGAACAAAGATTAAATGTTTCTTTCAACAAAGGGCTTGAAAAACAATGTTATAGATACATAATTTTTTATATTTCAAGATTATTATTGTTCCATAAGCCATCTAGATCGAGGGTGTATTCAAAAACAATGCGCAAAAGCCTGGCGCTGAGAACTGACCATAAAGGATTTG